ACAAAGTCTTGACAAAGCATAAGGCAATTTTCTTCATCGCTCCAGAAATAATTTTTCGTCTTTGTTGAAATAGTTTTCGTTCCTCTACGTCCATAAGGAATGTATGCAATAAATTTAGCATCATAAGGGATTGTAATATATTCAGGGTTTCTTTCATCGTCAATGGGTCTGTCTTTGTTAAAATGCATGTTCCTCAGTTTTACTTGAGTTTTGAATAGTTCACGGAAACGTTCTGGGAAAGAGTCATAGTAAATGTAGTCAGACATGTCTTTGTAATGAAATAAAAAATTTAAAAAAAAATAAAAATAAGGTTATATTTTATTTAGTGAGGACGGTAGTGAATTCGTTAGTGATGTCGTTAGTGAAGTTATTAGTGAAGTCGTTAGTGAAATCATTTATGTGTCAGATGGTTTTGTAAATATTTAAGGTTAAATTAGTGTTGTCGTTTGTGTTGTAAAATATACGTTACCAGTTTTGTAAAGTGTCAAATTCACAAGTATTGCGTACGGAGGAACGCAGTGCCACCGTACACGACTTAGGGATACTAACTAAATTTATGAGAACATTAGTGAAGTCGTTAGTGAGAACGATAGTGAGAACGTTTATTTTTACATTAGTGAGTTCGTTAGTGAAGTGAAGTGGTTGGCGGTTTGTAAATATTTAAGGTTAAATTAGTGTTGTCGTTTGTGTTGTAAAATATACGTTAACGGTTTTGTAAAGTGTCAAATTCACAAGTATTGTGTACGGAGGAACGCAGTGCCACAGTACACGACTTAACCATACTAACTATTTTTGATAATATTATCTGATTTAAAATCACCTGTTAAAACATTTTTTACAAGATTGAATTCATGTTCAATGAGACGGATAATTAGTTCGGCGGGTTCATATGTATCCCATTTATCTTTAATTTCGGCATTAAGGGATTCAATAAGAGATGTTGTGAGTATGCCAGCGGTGTAGTCAGCGAATCCTTCAAATGGGTTAATACTATCTAAGTACTTAAAGAGATCCTGATTATTTTCGCGGTTTGGATATTCCTCTTGTAAACGAGTTTCTAACTTTTTAATCAAGTCAATTCGTTTTTGAGGATGGTCTGCGTAAGCGACTTCAACAATTTCGGAATAGACATTGATGTATTCCCTTTTTGTTGCAAAATGACGTAAGCAAAATTTATGATCGCAAGAAAAGCCTGATTCTCTAACAGCAGCTATAATTGCCGGACCTTGATCGGAATAAATATTCTTGAATCTGCTTGGTGGAATAAAAGATTTCAATTTAGTGAGCATATCCTTAATTGTTATCGTATTTTCACTAACAGACCATGCAAATGCAATAGGGATAAGTCTATTATTTGGTGCAGGTGTACCAATAATGAGTAAGTTTCCTTTTTTAATACAAAATAAAAACGTTCCATCAATTTGAATTATTCCGCAAAAAGCTTGTGTTTGCATGTAAAAATGAGTTATTGGAGGAATTACAATAAATGAATAAATTTGAAAGTCTTTTGAATTTTCAGGTAATTCATCACCTTTCTTAAATGTATGCAATTCAATTTCATTGTTAACTTCTTTAACTAAAATCATTTCGCAGAATCCTTGTTCGATTTTGTTTATGATTGAAAAAATTGTTGAGAAATAATTGTAAGATTGAATTCTATCCCCTTTTGTGGTTCCTTTAAGTTTATTTACTATACTATGGAACATCGTATAAGTTGCATTGGGAATATTCAATTCTTTTGCAAAAATTTCTTTGCATTGAGGAACATTATCAGAATTTGCTAATTCATAGACTTTTTTTCCTGCTTGCAACTTAAGAATTTTTGGTATATTGTTACTCGGCTTGCATTGCTTTGCTCTATGCTCGTGTTTAATTACTGGAATGAAGAAAAGTTGACCATTTTCATGAGTCTTTACAAGCTCCATGCAAAATTGGCAGTTAGGACAACGAAACTTTTTTCCTTGCTCAAAATTTAATGGATAAAAAGAATTATATGAATCTTTTGCAATAAATATAGCAGCTTCTGTAGGATCTGTAAATTTTAATTTGCTATATCTTTCCTTGAGAATTGGAATTGGGGAATTTTCAGGTATTTCCATTCTATATTTCAATTTTTTACGGGAATTCAATTCATTTTGAATTAAATCCAGCATATCAGCTCCATCTCCTTTTTAAAAGGTATTACATACATACGAACGCATGGGTCACTCAATAATTAGCGTGATAATAATTGAGGATAGACTGTAATCGTAATTTTATTTTTGGACTTATATTTCGACATTTTGAAGTCGCTTGAAAGTCTTGCAAATGATTAAATTTGGAAAATTTGACCTAAGTCTGCATTATTTTGATGACTTAAACAATTCTATAAATCTGTTTTCCTAAAAATTTAAAAAGATATAATTTCAATTTCCCTAAATTTATGTAATTCATATATCACCAAAATATTTGGACTGCATTTCGTTTGTCTGCACCTAATTAAAGTCTAAATACCAATTAATTTTGGAGTTGCATTGCTTTTAAGGGTGCACCCGTATGTATGTTTATTTGAGAGGAGGAGGATTACCCTCTCAATTTTGAGGGATTCGTTAGTTTATTTTCTCGATGAATATGCAATAAAATTTGATTTTTACCTTATCAATATACTTCATATAATATACACATGTTCATGTAAAAACTTTTTTCCAAAATCCTCAGGAATTAAGGGATTTTTGAATTTTAAGAATTTTTTTCGAATTTTTTCGAAAAAAAAAATATTTTCAGAACAGCCTTAACGGCTAAGATTTAGGAACAATGTTAAGTATCAAAAAGAAAGGAGGTCTGATATAGACAACATATATCGTTGAAGGTTGAAAAAATCTCTAATATTTGAGCCAAAAATTTCAAATTTTAATTTTTTGAAAAAAGAGGCCACCCGTATGTACGTTTATTTGAGAGGAGGAGGAGGATTATATTTTTGAAAGGGTGAAACATTATGAATATGTTAATTATATAATAATATGTATTATTATAAAAAAGAAAAAATAAAGCACGTTAAAATTTTTCTTTCTTGATTTTTTACAAAATCTACTTAGAATTATGCAAAATATGACTAAATAATTATAAATTTCAAGTTAAATTTTAATTTTGATAAATAATTTAAATTTCAAAATATCAAGTTCAGTTCGACTATGTATGTAGTAATTCCTCAATAAAGTGCCAAAACCCTATTAAAATATATGAACATTTTCAACATTTTAATGTTTTTATTTAAAAATTTGATGGAATATGAGCTTCAAACAATTATTATGTAAATAAAAATAATTAAATATATGTATTTATTCGTATTACAACCGTAGTAAGTCGATTCTTCCTTTCTTCTACTGAGGTTTGAATTTGATTTCGAATTGTAAAGAGATTCAAAGGGAAAATACTAGCGGATAAAAACTACCTCCATGAAAGGGTCATAATGGAGTCAAGTTGTATTTTTTGATATTTTTTGCTTTTCGAGCCTAAATAGGTAGCCAAGATAATGCCTAAAAATAAGGTTCTAAATTCTGAAGTTTACATGATCCTCTCGTGTGCACCCTTAATGTAAAAATGCACGTTTAGAAAAAGACGATAACGATTAAATTACAAAATCGATAACGACGATGATTAAATTACAAAATCGATAACCTCTCATTGACTTTGGGCAATACCATGGAAAATCGGTTGTGTTGTATGAAGTGAAGAGTTGTGTTCCATAAAATGGTGGAAGCATAACAATTGGCTGGAGTGCATTGACTAGAGAAAGAAAAAGAAGAATCATTTTCCAAATGGCCTGTAAAAATTATTATGTGATAAAAATATTAGGAATAAAGAATACAGCAATATTTCATTAATAGATTTTTTTCAGCGATCATTCAAATTCAGAAGATAACCTCTCTCAATTTATCTGAGTAGGTGACAAAAGTGCATACTCTTAAACAACCGTCGGATTTCCGGGTGAAATCGTGACACACTTTCGTCTTTCGTAGGCAGTGGTGGTTGTTACAAAAGGTAACTTCGAATGTAGCGTGAAATCTGCAAAAAAAATTCTGAAATTTGAATGGAGAACACAAAAATTGAATAGTTTACGTCAATAAAAAAGAGAAAAATGAAGTCAATGTGTCTCGAACCTAGGACTTAGAGCAGCAATCCCACTGTTTATCACATTACACTACATGCATCTCTCACCTCAGTGAATGAGATCAACTATATGATAACTTTTTCCCCATTATATTCTTGTGGAAAAGTGACAAATAGCAACTTTGACCCTCTCTCCAATTTATCTTTCATTCAAAATAATTTCTTTACTTTTTTTATCTTTTCGAATTTGAAGTTCATGATAAACTGTACATGCTTGTTTTGCTTGATTTAAATGAATCAGGGCACCTATTTCTGTTTTGGAAATTGATATCTTGATCATCGGTATCGATTTAGTGATCTATTATGAATTATGCTAAACTTTATACATGAGAGACATAAAGCATTAAAGGTAAGTAAAAATGGATATACAATGAGATTTCAAATTTCTTCCCGATAATTCAAGTCCATATTAAAAGATTTTTAACATCAGATGATCTTTATCATCCGAATATTTATTTGGCGGCAATATGAAAGTATTTTATTTCAAATTGAACAGAAATGAACCCTATGACCTGTGACTTTTATCAAATGATTGAATTTCTGAACATTAGTATAACTGACTTATGGAATTTGTAACATGCTATTATGAAAAACCTAAGTTCGGATCCGATATCTCATAAAAGTAGTAGTAATGAGCATGAATAACAACATAACCATACAGATTAGATTCCAGATTACAGAGTACACAGCAATGGGCGCCATTTTCCAAAAATTGTTCTTTACCGGTATCCTCATTCAAGTAATTTAACCAACTATATAGATTGTTCATCAATACGTATTCCCAAATATCAATAAATTGATTTTTATGAGAAATTTTTTGAACTTCACTTAGTAAAAAAAATTTTTAGAAAATGGACATAAAGGTAAAATATAAAGCCGATACTTATAATTATCAGATCAAAAAGGCTACCTCCAATAGCGGGTTTATAAAGCAACTCGCTAAAGACTTAAATTTAGATTCTTGCTCCATTAAATTAATATATAAAGGAAAAAACTTGGCAAATTCTAAAGGTAAGATAATTGATGAAGGAATAACCGAAGGCGCCACTCTATTACTATTTGCGGTAGATAAATCAGCAAAACTATCGAAACCCAAAAGATCAAGTGATAAAAAACGATCAAAAATTTCAAGCGCAATGTACGAAGAAATCCCTATACCAGAAATAGTTAAGAAAGGACCTCCTCCTGGGTGTATGGATGGCCTTCATACTCCAGTTTCGAAATTTCCTAAGCAGCCATTTGTTGTTTATACGAAAGATGGCAGCATTGCAAAACTTTCTATAGAGTCTGATGCAATATTTGTTGAAGCTAAGGACGGAAACAAAGAAAGACTGTTTGATGTTACATATAATTCAGAAAGAACCAAAGAAGTACCAAATTATCCGAATTACATCTCTTTATGCTTGAATACTAATGATGAAATGAGAGTTTATCATTATATTCCGAAGCAATATCAAAATATTTTCAAAGATTTTTTCACTTCACTGATGAAATGATTTATTCTTTTAGTATTATTCATTTTTATCCATAGTGAACTTTTGTTTGGACTGTTTATCATATTAAATTGCAATAAATTGTTTTTTTTTATTAATTTCATTGCTTTTGTTTATATAAAGATTATACATTCCTAATATAAGATCTTTCTAGAAAGATGATGGTATTTTTTCTCAACACATAGAAAGAGAAAAAGTATTTGATAAATTTAACTGTAATTTTGTATCTTCATAAAACAAATATTAGTTTATTAATGGACAAATAAGTTATTCATCGGCCTCAGATTCTGGTTCTGCTTCTGGTGCCGGTTCAGGTTCTACTCCTTCAATTTCTGCTTCTGGAGCTGCTTCACCATCACCTTCTTCTTCATTCATCTCCTCGTCTTCAGGAGCATTTCCATCAATATATGGTACTTCTGGTTCTGGAGATTTATATATTAAGAAAAATAGATTTCCGACTGAAAAATATGCGCATTTTCTAATTTCGTGTCCAACTAGAACACCAAATGACTGTCCTACAATAACATGCCACGATGGTTCATATTTCAAATCGAATTCTTTTTTTATAAACTCTGCGACTGAATCTTCATCATTAAAGTTATGAAGGGCATATAGAGCACAGTCTATGCACTCCTGGAGAAGCCAGGGTTCCATATCATGCTCTATGATGCTTGCCTGCCCGAGGGTCATAATAACGGACTAGCAACGATTATTTTTCTTCATAATTTTTGCAACACTCCAAATTAACTACAAATCACTACTGCAATGTAATTGCATCAGTTTTTCTCATACAAATATGGTCTAAATATTAATTTATAAATTTCATATTCTTATTTATGAGAGATATTTACAAAATTTCCAATGTATGTAATTATATTCATTAATTTATTAATCTTTATCTTATAAGCATTCAACTTTAAAGGAATGTTAAAAATATTTATCTTGAATATCCATTAATCACCTTTCATACCATGACTAGATCTCATAATTTCAGCATTAAATAACTATACATAATATAAAAGAATCAAAGTTAAAATGAAAATATGAAATTGAAACATTGATTGAAAAAAATAGACTTGATCATGCATAAAATCCGAATTTATATCAAAAACAAATATAATAAACATAATAATATCAATAAATAAAGAAAATCAATAAAATCTAATTGGAGCAACTTTCGGTGAAGTCCTTTGGGGTGGTGGCGGCATCATTGGCAGGTTATTACTTGACTGCGGTGGTGGAGGCATTGCTGGTGATCTAGATGGAGGAGGAGGCATCATAGGAATAATTGGACCATTATTTCCTGAAGATGACGGTGGTGGTGGCATCGAAGGCGATCGAGGCGGTGGAGGAGGCATAGACGGAGTTCTTGTTGGAGGTGGTGGAGGCATTCGAGGAATTCCGGCATTAGTTGGTGGAGGCATTGTAGGAAGTGCAGTATTTGAGGGAGGAGGCATCGTAGGTATCGAAAATTCCGAAACAGATGAAAATCTAACACCTTGCTGCACTCTATTAATACCATCGTAATCGTTAATTCTTGGCATTGAAGATGCTTGGTTAGGAATTCCTTTTGAAGGCGGAGGCATCGATGGTATAGATGGAGGAGGCATATTTGGATAAGATCCAGGTGGAGGAGGCATAGCTGGTACTGTGATATTTTCTTTTGGCCGATTTTTGTCATTTGAACTTGTCATCGTAGCTGTTCGAGATTTATTATTCATTGATGGCGGTGGAGGAGGCATTGATACTGGTGAAAACGCCGGTATGTTTGCAAAATAAGAAGCATTATATGCGTTTGATTGCTGTAAAAGTGTCTGTAAACCTAGAGCAACTAAATAAGAAGGATCAATAGGCAATGAATTTTCAAACAAATAGTATTTTTCCTTGTCTGTTAATTCTTTTTTAGGTTTCTTCTGTTTATAATTATATTCCGGATATTTTTTTCGAAACTCATCTTGCATTACTCGCGCTCTTTCTTGATATGGTTTCTTTTGTTCTTCGGAGAGCTCTTTCCATAATTCTCCCATTCTATTCATGATTGATCTATTGGTTAAATCAGGCTCGGTTCTCACAAGGATCTCCCTTTGCTCCTGGCAAAATAGGAGATACGCATTGGGAGGCCGTTTGTCTTGCATTGGCTCCCTATTTCAGAAGAGAAATGATATTTTTTGATGAAAATTACAATAAATAGTTTACAGTAATATTTACAGAGTGTTTTCTAAATAGAATTTTTGAAGCTATCCAAATTTTTGTCAATTTTTTCATAATTGACAATAGTGGCAATTTTCGATTTGAATTAATTCTTTAAATCATATTTCTAGTATTTTTTAAAAACGGTTGATTGTCATGTCAATTTTTCAAATTGTTATATCTTTGTGAAAAAATTTCAAGACAAAAATTGATCTGAGTTAAAGATATGCGAACAGCATGATGTTAAAAAACAAGCAATTTTATAACAATGAGCTGAATTAGATAAGATTCTATTCATTTTTTCAAGACATTCCTTAAATTATCGAAAAGTTATTTTGCATTGATCAAATAAATGATTGAAACTACAAGCACATTCCATGTGCCTGACATTTTGAGAAGTTACTTTAGAAACGCCAATGATATTAGAAAATTTTATCATAATTTACTGGAACTGCCATCAAAAATGAATAAAATACGAAATCAATCGATTTTAAAATAATAGACAAATAGTTTATTGAACAGGTTGTGGAGGTAATAAGGATTCAACCTTATTTCTCAGTAAAATTAAAGTATTAGGAGATACATCACATAAATTAAGTTCTAAAGTTTCGCCTTCTATCTTAACATTAGGCTCTTCTTCCTCAATTATCTCAATAACAGAAATTAAGTGGCTGTCTTCAGTAAGACCGTTAATCTGCTTTGTAAGTTTTACAATTTCAGATTTCTTAAGAGGTTTTCTATTAATTGGTTTCTTCTTTGGTTTCTGAGCCTTATTTGCCTTCTGATTTGGTTTAGGACTAAGAGACTTTGGTTTAACAGGTGTCCTCTGCGATAATCGATTTATTGAAGCATGTGCTTCGAATGGTTTAGTTGCGGATGCGAATTGTTCGCGTAAATATATTAATTTGTTGAACCAATCTCGAACTGGATTGTCGCTGATAAATTTCGAAAGTTCGCTAAATGTTTTCTGCATATCGAGTGTAATAAATTTAAGGAATTGGTTGTTGGAATTATATAATAACGAATTTGACCAAATTAATTCGACATCTGCTTTCCATTCTGCAACCGAATTATATTTGTTTTCTTCAATTTTCTGGCAAACGGTACCTATATCCATTGGATGATGAACAATTTGTAAATAATTTGGACAATTGTCGCGTTCGGGATCAACTGGGATAGCAAACATTCGCGATATGGCCCTCTCTTGAAGTTTATCCATAATGCCTTTAATTGTTAATATTTGCTCCGCAGTCAATCCACTCATTGAAAATTATTTTTTGAATAATTTTTTTTTGACATTCATAAATTATTGTCGTAAAACTAGGCATTCAACATAAAATATTAACATATTTCGTGCCACAAAGAGAATTAATCAGGAAAATTAACTAAAAACTTCAAATGTTGAATCAAATTGGAAATTTGATGACTGAAATTCATATTTGGCCCTGCTTTCCGAAACAAACTCAGTATGATAAGGATATTTTGAATACAAATGCATTCGGAATTATTAATTAATTTTTTTATCCAATACAAATTTCAAAATCAAAGTGAGAGAGTTATTTTTTGGTAGTTTTTTTGGCGAATATTGTATTTCCATACATAGTATATCCTTCTTTTTACTTTAATTAATGAAATAAATTTGAATTTTTTGGTGAAAATTCGATTCGACTATAGCAAAAATGATAGTTTTATTTTAGAGATCCGAGAAAAATAAAAATAATAAATTACTAACAAATTATTTTCTAACATAAACCTTCTTCGTCAATTCTTCCGATAGCTACATAAGCTTGTTTCTTCAAAAGAACAAGCAGTGCATCAATAATCTCCTGGCCAGTGTAAGTTTCGTTTTCATCGAACTCTTCGTTCATTCCCGTGAAAGTTGACTGAGTTAGATCTTTTATGATAGATTTCATTGTTGCCTTTGCTGTTTCTCCCTTTGCACCTGATCCAGCTGATGAATTCTTGAGTTTTTCTTCAACACCTTTGATGAGATTTTCATTTTCGGATAATTTCTTCTTGTAATAGCGGATATCGGCCTGAGCATCATCATATTGCTTCTGAATATTACTTCCTGTGCTTGATTTCTGACGAGCAGCCTCAACTTGTGCTTTCAAAGTTGCTAATTCAGAATCAGCGACCTTTAATTGGGCGGCCATAGTAGCAACTCCTTTAACAATTGAGTCTACGCTATCAGCTTTGGATGTTGTCAGCTTGGAAATATGAGATGATATACTTTGTTCGATTTCCTTAACAATTTCGTTATTGGCTGGCGTACCATCATCTGTATCTTCAATTACGACCTTCTTTCTCTCAGGACTTTGATATACTTTCGGTTGAATAACTTCGATTTGTGGTTTTTCGGGTGTTGAATTGTTGGACTTAGGCGAAACCTTTGGTTTCTCTTCAACAGTTGAATCTGTAGTGTCATCAGCTTGCGATTCTTCGCGTTTCTGCCTTTCTTCCTCTTCTCTTCTTTGTCTCTCCTCTTCTTCTTGGATTTTCTTCTTTACCATGATCAGAGGAACACCAGCAGTGGCAAATGGGGATGCGTGAGCTCCAATTCTCTTGAATTTGGCAATTTTTGCAGCAAATGAATCTCCAGATGGCTCTGGTTGGTCAGCATTTGATTCGGAGTTATTTGATTCGTTTGCATCTGAAACATTATCTGATTTTGACTCGTCATTTTGCTCTTTTGCAGCGGATTCTGTTGGCGAATCTGATTTTTCTTTTTCTTCGACTTTTTGAGGCTCAGGTTCTGGTTCTGGCTCAGATTTCCTCTGTTTTACTGGCGATTCTTGCTTGGCAGGAGACTCTGTGGGTTGTTGCGGTTTTTTGCTTTCATCGTGGAACTTTGAGTTTAATATTGATACTATGTAAACGTATGGCTTATCCTTCATCCAAGATTCCTTAGTTCCTGATGAATTTACGCATTGATTTTCTGGAACAAAAATAACTCTTATAGAACCAGTTGACATACCGATGATACCGGCTACAAGGCCAACAGGCATCTCTTTTCCTGATATAGTGATTTTGTGACCGTCACTTGAAGATGAAGAAGGTCCAATTTTCGGAAATGCTTCAACAGGAAAAGCACTGTACGCCATTTTAATGACATCACCTTCAGAAAGTTCAGGGCCTGGCTTTTGGAAGGCATCATATGTTGCTACTGTTTTAATTGATTGGCATGATAAATACATACCAATTAAAGCGGTAACAAAGTTGGCAGTTTCAACATCTGGAAATTGTACAATCCATTGTTTACCGGTATCTTTGAAATATCCGAATAAATCATTTTGTAACTTCCAATTCATGTATTTTGATATCTGATTTTCAAGCAGAGGTACTGCACCTGCCTTAGTTATAAGTAATTTTAATACTTTGCTTTGATTTAATATAAGAAAGTTGAAAGTACCTTGCGATCGATTTTCTTTACTTGCTGGAATGTATTCAAATATCTGCAATTGCTGGTTAAATAGTTCAACGCTGCCAGTTGTTTTGCTTTTGTTTGCGTTATATTTAAAGAGATCATTATTCTCAAGCCCTTTCATTGTTTTTTTATTTTTTTTGTCACTTCAACCGCCGAAAATTATGAATAAGCGGATCATGGAGTATGTCGTATTCGTCTAATAGCCGAATTACTTTTGATTTCTAAATTACGATAGCGTATTGGGGGTTATCAATAAGATCCAATATCACTAGCTTTTGAAGATAATTTACTGGTGATAATCTACTCAATACGTACTGTTTTTGCCTATACTTATAACCATAAAGAAAAACCTTCATTTTGTATCGATATAATTTCAATTTCAATTTTTGTTTTTTAGAGCTTATCTGATAATGGATTTTACTCCTATGACATATGAAAAGATCAGGATGCACAGCACAGATGAACACACTGTAAATTATTGATCCGTTCATTTTTATTTCCGAAAAAATTCATTGAAAATGATTGTGAATGGTATTTTTCACGTTTATAGTGATAGGAACTTTGAAACAGCATTAAAAAACTGTGGAGTTGAATGTGAAATCAACCCTATCTTCAAACATCTTAAATTGTCGAGTTTTTCGATTCCAAATTCGGAAGATATAATAAAAATACCAGAAAATGAAGAATTTCCGATAAAGGATGATAAGAAAGAAGCCATCAAACCAATATCTCAAGAAGAATTTGTCGAAAAATGCCTTCAAGAAATATTAAATCAAAGAAAATTACAAATTGAGAATCACGCGAATACCACAACATCAGAATTTCTTCTTATTGAAGATACAGATGAATTTATTCAAGTCAAGAGAGAACTTAATACTTATTGTGCGAAAATCTCACGAGATGAAGGAATGGATCCCCCGTTTCATATTTGCGAATATACATCTTGCTTGAATTCTGCAATTCCCGGCTTTTCCTATTGTACAAATCATATTACTTTAGATCCGAAATTTGATACTCTCCCATTTTTCAAGAGATGCAGTTCAAAGCTTTCAGATCAACAATGCATTACTCCTTGCTCCGAAAAACATACAGAATGCTGTCTTCATCGTGGAAAAATTTTGAAATCTAATTTTAATAGTTAGAATTAGAGTTTCAACTTATCACCAAAATGAAACATCGAACGTTATCTTATTTTTTACTTATTTACAAATTTCAAAATTTATTTTTTCAATTTGGCCCAAAAATCATCAGTAACTATCTGCATGTACTAACTATTAGGATGGTTTGACTTTAATTTATAATTTTAGGTTAATAATCAATCTTTTTTTTATATATAAGAATTAATTACAAGAAATACCGACTTTCACACAAAAATGTTAAGTTTATATGTTTTTTGTTAATTGAATAAAGTGTTATAAAAATATATTTTATAAAAATTAAAAATTATTTATTATCGTACAAACACGTTTATTCTTTATAGATTTCTAATCCAAATCTTCTGAAATTGCGTAGAATTGGTTCAATACTAAGAATGCGTTATCTTGCTTAGCTAAATGAACAAAAATAGAAAAGTCAAAAGACTGATCAACTTCTGGATGAGCTTCATCAGGAATTACATAGCCTTGGACCATGATAAATATGCAATTTTCTATAGATGGCTGTGTTGTATAATCTACTATTTTGTATTTTGCTTTTTTCATATCTGGCGAACTAAGATATTCGATAATTTTTAATTTTCCTTCTTCATTTCGACCTTGAAATGTTTGCTTGTTGAATTGAACAATAGAATCGTTGTTATATACTATTTCTAAATCTTCTGGATTCGTGTTGAGTTTGTTGAAGTACCAATTGATAAAACTAGCTCCTTTCTTCCAGAATTGCGCCATTTACAAAAAAAGTGAAAAATTGACTTTTTTTTTTCAAAAAAAAAATCTACTTGAAAGATATGATTTATTTACCTCACTTCATTAGAATGATATCTACTTATAATCGCAATAGATGGGCCAGCGCACATATTCATGACACATAGCAGCCGATAAGAGTGTATTATGCACTCTTGTCGGTCAAAGTTCCGCAATCAGAATGTGATTGGTGAACATTGTGCCATTCTGGGAGACACACAGTGGAAATGTCTCCCAGAAATGATATGTTCCGACAGACAACACGCACTGCTGAACTTTTTCATTCAAAGTACCCACAACACACGATAATTTCAAAGCGTTCCCAATTCCAAGGCATATTGCCTGTGTAGATCTGCTATAATGTTTATACTGACATTATCATTATATAATATACATCTCTATTCTATATAAATTCCTATTATCTTTTATTCTTCTAAAATCCACCCTTATAACTTTAAATTATCTATTAACATCAAAATAATCATAACTCCATCGTAACCATCTATATATCCCTTAATAATTTCATTTATTATTTCTCAGATCCAAATTCATACTTTTAATTTACATTAAACATTTAACGATATCAAAACTATTCACAACATCTGTTTTACATGGCCATATTCCACAGTTTGCTTTGAAATGAGTTCCAAATTAATTAAATCTCTAAATGATCCCAAAATTCTAGTTTAATTGCGATTTTAAAATGAAAAAAAAAATTCAAAGTAAAACTTAATATCTAACCCAATCATTCTAGAAATGTTATACATAGGTCTAAACATTCTAAATACAAACGGAATTCAGAAAAATCAAAAGAATATTTATGAGATTATTAAATCTTAGGCAATTCAATCAAAAGTCGATAATTATCACACCTATAGACTAATATATGAGCTTTTGTTTTGATCACTACTATACTATTGTGATCAAATTAACCTGTGGGGGAAAATAACAATTTTAGGACCCTTAATATATGGAATGATTAATTTATTTGAAAAAAGATTAAGTATTATTCTAAATTTTTATAAATTGTGAATTATCTTCGTCTTTTTATTGCATAAGATAACTCGAATTTGTAAGTATGAAATGATTTAATTATTGAGACATTTAATGTTTTATAATCAGAGTAAAGATTATGTTCATCCACTGCATAAAACTTAAGAAGGCAATCGCCTGCATTGATATCAGATGGAAGAGGAATGTTATAATCAAATTCTTTGCTCGTTTCTTCTTGAAGACTGATATTGACAAGATTGCCTTCTGTGTTGTTAAGACTGTGATATATACGAATATGACTATTGCCATCGATGTCTGAAACTGAAAGTGTGAAGTTTATAAATTTGTCTCTGTTGATAAAAACTGGGAATATTGGTTTTTTGATTATTTGGAGAACTGGATTGTTGTATTCGAAATAAAATCTTTTGATTGTTGAAGCACATTTTGGTAAGCTGTCACAACATCTGATGATAAGTCGATAATTTCCGCGTGGAAGAGAATCTGGAATATTAACATTAAGATTGAATGGATATTCACTGCTACTTTGAATAGAAATACTTTTGCTTGATCTTGTTGTTGTTTGATATCCTTCAATATATGATTCTATCGTAACAGATTCATCACCATCAATATCTGAAACAGAACCAGAAACTGTAATAATACTGTCTCTCTTGTGAATATATGTATCTTTACTTAAATCTGATACTCTGAGAACTGGCTTATTATAATCGAAATAAAATCTTTTGATTGTTGAAGCACATTTTGATAAGCTGTCACAACATCTGATGATAAGTCGATAATTTCCGCGTGGAAGAGAATCTGGAATATTAACATTAAGACTGAATGGATATTCACTGCTACTTTGAATAGAAATACTTTTGCTTGATCTTGTTGTTGTTTGATATCCTTCAATATATGATTCTATCGTAACATATTCATCACCATCTATATCTGAAACATAACCTGAAACTGAAATAGAACTATCTCTCTTGTGGAAATATGATCCTTTACTTAAATCTGATACTTTGAGAACTGGATTGTTTCTTTTTAATGAAAATTGTTTAATTACAACATCTGAGACTTCATTAGAATGTACTGCCCAAACTTTCAATGTGTAGCCTTTTTCTTGATTAATTGAACTTGAAATTTTGCAATCAGCTGTGAAATTGTATGATTGTGATATATCATCATAATTGCTCCGATGTGTGATTTCTTCTTCTTTATCATCAATACTACAATGAAATGAATCAACATCATCACCTTTGTATGATCCTTTGATTTTGATAATTTTATCAATATTGTGATAATAAGTTGTTTTTTCAAGATCTTCAATATTCATTGTGAATGGACTCGAAATTTCGAATTCAACTGAAACACTTACTGGTTGTGATATTATTCCAGCATTATTTGTATTTGAAACTATAACTTTAACCTTGTGACTTCCAATTTCTAAGTTATTTGGAATGTTTATTGGATATTGATATAATTGAGATCCACTAATTTCAGTGTTTGAATATTTTTGAACATCATCAATGTAAATTTGAATATTAAATTGTTGATTTGTTACTCTATCAAAGATTATTTTGACATTCATTGTCTGATCCACATTTTGTTTATATTTTGTTTTGTCTAATGAAACACTTTTTAAAAGATTAATAGGGCGATTTGAATGACAAAGTGCTGTATAAAAATGTGAATTATCAAGATTAAACCATCCTGTTGTTTGTATAGAAAGTGTTGAAGGTTCAGTTAGGCCCACAGAATGTTTGGTTGTATTACACGAATTTGAATTAAAATAACATTTAGTAGCTATAATAGATACAACATCGGAGGAACTTTGTACCCATGTACAAAATAGAGAATATCCGCTGTTGCTTTGAAAAATGCATTGATCCAAATACACTTTACTATTAGTTGCTAAAACAATACCATTATATCTAGCTGTTCCTTTCCAGCATTTGTTTGAGAGAATGTTACAATATTTAAGATTAGATGTACCATAAAAATGATTTAAACAAGAACTTCCATAAGCTTCATTGTTATAAAATGTTGAATATAAAATGTTTCCACTATTTTGAATAGAATAACCTGCAAAATCTTCTCTTGCTATTGAATTTGAAATATTTATATTTTGAAGAAGAATTTCGCCATACTGGTGATAAATAGTTGATAATCTATCTTTGCATCCAGTTAAAGTTGATTCAATCATGTAATTCTTTGAATTGGAATATATATATGAATGCGATGCACGGTTGTTTGTAATTGCTTTGATACTGCAGATTCTATATTGAACACATTGACCATATTTTTGATAAATGTTTCCGCCATCCCAACGATTACCTTGATTAGAATCAAAAACACAATATGATACAAGGAGTCGATTGTTATAACTATCTTTGAGTGTAATAAGCTGTGCACTATGATTTGTGAATAAAACATCGTGAACATGAAAATTTCCTTCTTTATTCTCAAGGATTTCATCTGTTGTATGATCTGTTGAATTATATCCACCATAAAAGTGCTCCCAAACATCATTTATATTCAGTATAAAAATGAACCCAAATAGCATTTCAATGTGTCAGAAATTTTTTGAAAAGACACGTTTTTTATTGGCGGTTTAAATTGAAGATTTAACATCAAATGTATATCGAATATGCTTTAACATGACATTTTCAAATATATTGTAATGGAATTTGAGGAGAATTTTATGATTTTTCTCAAATTAATTTTTAAAGGAAATTCAATTTTTTTTTCTTCTAAAAAGTGTTAGAGAAATTATAGATTTTATTGGAAATGAATTTCCAATTTAGGAATAAAAATTTCAAATATTTACAAATGTCATATTTTGCCATACCTATATAGTTGCGTCGTTTCCAGTGGAAACGTAAAATCAGAGGAAAATCTGGCACTAAAAATTTTCTTTCCTTGGTATCTTTTTTTCGATTTTCTACGATATCTGTTTGAAATAAATAGCTACTTATGCGGCATAATATGCAGAGAAATATATGTACAATGTGAATGCATAGCAAAATCTATGACATATTAAGTTTTTCTTCAAGATTTCGAAATCTTGAGGTCTGAAAAAATCTCGGATTTCGACGCCACTTGGGGTACAGATGAAATATATACTACTAATACTTAAATGCCGCATGCTGCGCTTGATCTAAAGCACTTCTAATGTTAGAGAAAAACTGACTTTTGTTCACCTTTTTTCAGAATCAGTACATGAATAATAGAGTATTGACATCAATACTATATATCCAAAAAAGCTTAATGTCAATTTTTTGTCACTGATAAAAAACAAATTTATTATAGACCCGAGTACACAATTTCAAGCGCTAGAAGATGGTTCCTATGACACATCATCAATAACTTTACAATATGTCTTATGGTATTGAGAAAATTTAATATAATGATAAGTTGGTTGAGAAGGATTTAGACTTTTTCGTAACTAAAAGAAAAATTGAAAAATTCTCTATGGTATAATTCATAACTAACAGAATCTATGCATTCATATATATTGTTCACAGAGTGTACTATATGATTATACACATTTTAAATTCACTTATTGAATATTGGTCGAATCGTCCTCAAGTAAAAGTCATCGTCTTAATTTGTCAAAAAATTCACAAGTAGGTTTCTTGATTCAAGTTTCAAAGATTCTAATGCAACACACAATGCGTATATGTGATATAATATATGTTTATATAGTATTGATGTCAATACTCTATTATTCATGTACTGATTCTGAAAAAAGGTGAACAAAAGTCAGTTTTTCTCTAACATTAGAAGTGCTTTAGATCAAGCGCAGCATGCGGCATTTAAGTATTAGTAGTATATATTTCATCTGTACCCCAAGTGGCGTCGAAATCCGAGATTTTTTCAGACCTCAAGATTTCGAAATCTTGAAGAAAAACTTAATATGTCATAGATTTTGCTATGCATTCACATTGTACATATATTTCTCTGCATATTATGCCGCATAAGTAGCTATTTATTTCAAACAGATATCGTAGAAAATCGAAAAAAAGATACCAAGGAAAGAAAATTTTTAGTGCCAGATTTTCCTCTGATTTTACGTTTCCACTGGAAACGACGCAACTATATTTCAGAAAAATACGCGAAAATTCTCATCTTAAATCACAAACTTTTAGATATTTTTTGTTATTGGATGCATAGGAAATGATATACAAGATACATTAGGAAAAGGAATTAGAAATGTCACTTTTTGTTCATAATGATTTCATTTCTATTTTATTTTTCAGTAAGTGACCCAAAAAGGATTGAAACACTTACATTAAATGATCTAGCATTTGGAATATTTGCTAGTTCCACGACATCTTCGCGTTTAGAACAGATGTTTGCAACATGGTACCAAGATATTCCGAATTTAGAGATATTTAGTGTAACGGATTTAAAATTGGATAAGAAATCACTTGAAAAATATAATAATCTCAATGCAAATGTCAATATTTATAATTATTCGTATCAAAATGGTTCCGATGATTGGTCAATTGCTCAAACATATCAAGGGTTTTATCAAAATGAATTATTACGGAAATATCCTAATAAAAAATGGTATATTTTCGGTGATGATGATACTTTTATTTACAAAGATTCGTTAATTCAAATTCTCGAGACAGTTAACTCTTCAGAACCACATATACTAGGAAGATCCTTTTTAATAAGCCAAGAAGATCTTCTTACTTTGGAAAATCCAGATCCTAATTTTCAATTTATCCATGGCGGATCAGGATTATGCCTTACCAAACCATTTGGAGAAAAGATACTACCTAAACATAAAGAATGCGCCAACTTATATCCAGGAAAAGTTTCGGATTTACGTTTAATGCTTTGCTTACAGAAATTTGATCCAGATTGCCAAAAATATCTTAGCTGGAAGGATGGCTTTAATGCAGAGCATCCAACTCAAGAGTCTTCCGTTAAAAAACCTCCAATTTCGTATCATAAAATTTTCGGAAAAGACGCTTTACAGATTTGGAACGCCGTTCATACAGAATGGATGAAAGGAAATGACAGAATGGTCGTAAGTTGGGTTAATTACACTTTAAAGGACAGATATTTCTCAATTGACGAAACAAACGTTCCTGTTGGATTTATGTTCGGCTACAAGCTATTTATTGGTGAAGATCGAACTTCCACTGGAATTTACGCATCAACTCCGATAAATCCAATTTTTGATAAAACTAATTCAACAATTTTGAGATACCACCAGAGATTTGGCCAATATGATGTATATTACAACTGTAGAGATGACTTAGATGATGGAATTTTCAGACTTTCTTCAAATAATTTGAAATCAGAAACTTTATTCGAATTAGATGTCAATTGTCCAACACCAATCAAGACGTCTTTCAAAAAAGGCGAAATCAAATATAATTACAACTTATAATATTTATTTGTATTTTTAATTTGTTTTGAATAAAAAAATATTGTTATGTGTAAAAAAAAAAAAAAAAAAAAAAAAAAGGTATTGGGGGTTCCAGGGCTGCGCCCCTCTACCCCCTTGAAGATGTTTAGTATGCAATGAAGTATAAAATGAGGTTTTTTTTGGTGTGTGGGGTCTTCCAGGCACTTCGTGCCTTCTAGCCCCTAAAATTTTTTGAAAGTCGTTGCTGTTGACTTGTTTGTAGAGGACTCAAAATAGTAGAACTATGTCCGGACAAGTAAGGGTCTATCGTCACCAGGTCACTCGGTCACTCGGTCACTCGGTCAAATGAACTTCTCTGAAAAAGTGTGACAACATGACATTTTGACAACAGTCCAGGAAGTCTTAACAAGATAGGATGGTTATTTTACAAAACTGACAAGACCTTAACCGAGTAGTTTTCATGTTTTGTCACTTTTCTGTAGCTTTTCAGGGAAAAAACATTTTTATTGTATATAAAATGAATTTTACAAAACCACCGTTACCCTTCTTTGGAAATAAGAGTAGATGTAAAGATATTCTATTGAGAGAACTTAAGAAACTACCGAATGGTCTAACATTTGTAGATTTGTTCGGTGGAAGTTTCTATATATCTCATTTGTGCCATACTGTATTTCCTGACTCAAAGATTATATGCAATGACTTCGACAACTATATGAACCGTCTCAAACATATACCAGACACAAACAAAATATTGAAAGAGTTAAAAGAAAAGATACCTATAGGTAAGATGGAACGTATACCATTAGATAAGAAAAATACTGTCAGAGAGGTTTTGAAAAAAGCAGAGTATATTGACTGGGATAGTATATCTTCTAGACTATTGTATAGTGGTTCTATAAGAGTTCATGACATTGAAACACTTATGTCAAACGTTTTATATCTTAACTATACAAAGGTTTTCAAAGAGAACATAGAAAAATATACTGAGGGTATAGAGTTTGTGAGATGTCATTGGACAGAGTTGTATGAAAAATATAAAAACAAGGAAAATGTTTTCTTTATAGTAGACCCGCCGTTCTTTAACACATACGATTTTCAATACCAAGTAGACTGGACTTTGAGAGACTCTTTAGAAACTTTAGACGTTTTACATAACCATCCATGCTTTTACTTTACATCCGATAAAAGTGGTTTGGAAAGTGTTATGAGATGGTTAGAGGATATACATGACTATGATTTTAGATACGATAAGATAGAATATGAGAGAGGTCCTATAAACCGGAAAAAGTGTCACAACAAAGAAATTTTACTAGTAACTAAATGTGGTTTGAAATAGGACTACTTGTTTTAGGTTTTTTCCATTGTGTCATTTACTTATTTGACGTGGCAGAAAGATATAGAGAATATGAAGATGAACCAATGCCAGCAAATGTTCGGCATATGTACTCGTAAGAGATATTTTTATCTAATATTAAATGGACGCACAGAACTTAGCAAATGCACAGCAACCTGGACAACCAAACCCAGAGAATATTCCAAATGAAGTTAGAATACAAACTGCAATGGCAAACTATGGTCAAGTGCCAACAGATGTACAAATGCAAACTGCCATGTCAAATGACGCTGCGTTAGGCTTACCACCATGGTATGCAAATATGAGATGGAAAGAGTTTTATACAAACCCTGAAGTGGGATATAAACAACTCTATGCAGATGACGCGAACACAGGAGTTGACCCAGAGTATGTTTTCTACCAGAGGAGAAATAGAATGTATGAGCTCCAGTTAAAAAATGCTATGGAACTCAGAAGAAACGTAAGAGACTAGGTGGACATTAGATTTTTACATATAGTAAAATGGGTTTCTTCAGTAGTATTGGAAACTTCTTTCGAAATGTTGGAAGAGGTATATGGAATGGAATAAAAACCGTAGGAAGAGGAATTTGGAACGGAGTCAAAAATATTGGTAAAAGAGTAGGTCAGTTTGTTGGTATTATACCTAAAGACCCTGAACCAGAAGAACAAGCTCCTGTTATACAACAGCCTGAACCTGCACCGCAGTCTAGTTGGCAACCAAATCCAACACCTCAACCGTATTAAAATTATATTTTTACCGTTCGATAGTAGTTGTATATGAAACTAAGTTCTAAGTAAAACGCATGGTATAATGGAACTATTCTCTTTCTTCCATCTGTTGTAAACCATACTTGAAAGTCTGAAATACTTCCACTCGGCGGTTCATATAGCTTTGTAGGTTTTTCGTAAAAGTCATTTGCCAAGCATAAAAAAGAGTTTTGTGCACCAGAAAATGAAGCATGAACTATAATAGCATCCGAGTCGAAAACATTTTCATATGTTCCATTAGGGTTTTCGACTTCATAAAAGTTCGGGTGTACTGGATATTCTGCAGGCTGATTTAACATCCTCAAAAACCTATACCATGCCAAGTTGTTATATTTTGTAGAAAATATAAACGTCTTCTCCAAGGTCTTCTATTCTATTGATTTTAACAGTTGCATTTTTCCTGTCATAAACAATATCGAGATGGTACTCTCCTTCGTCAATGTTAAACTGGTTTGCATATTCGAGATAGATATCGTTTATTTTTTCTTGAAAAGCTTGAAGAGTTGTTTCTAAGTTTACAAGCAAATTCACTTGTAAAAGTTTTCCCTGTTCAAATTTCTCATACGTACGTTTTTCTTTGTTATAGTATCGAACTTCAAAAGCGACCGTAAATGGGAAACCATGTATGGCTTCTGAAATGAATTTCATTCTACGAAAGCCAATAGCTTTTGTGACGGATGGGTCTCTTAGCCATCTTAACGGGTAGTCAAAACGATAGCCTTCATGCTTTACGGTCTCTGTCTCAAACTTTTGACCGACATTCGTAAAAAGTTCATCTAATGGTTTAGTTGTAGCAACTCTTGAATTTTCTTTTTCTATTGAAAGCATATTTTATCTAGAATAAAAATGTCGAAAGAAACAGCGTCTATGAGAGAAATACAACACAACCGACAACTCATTTTGCAAGCTCTAAATAAGAACACAACAAACTTTTCAAACTATTCTAAGATATCTGAGTCATTGAAAGAAGGAAACTTAAAACTGACGATAAACCCATTGACAGACGAGTTTCTGTTTCAAGACAGTAAGAACCATACTGTTTGTATAAATCCAACAAAAAGAACTTTAAACGAGAAACCTATAGATGAACTTCTTTTGAAAGCAGATATTGACAACAAAGCTGACAAAGAGTATGTAGATGCAACAAGAGACTATATTCTCGCATGGACAGATAGAACATACCCACAAAAACATCATACACATAACATCTATGACGTAGATGAACTACCAGCAATGTTAGATGACAAAGCTGACAAAACATATGTTGACAATAAAATGTCAAGTGAAGTGACAAGAGCTGACAAAGAATATTCTAAAAAGACTCATACACATACCATTGCAAATATTACAAACTTACAAGAAACCTTAAACAGGAAAAGTGACGTTGGACATACACACGATTTCTTCGCAACTGTTGGTATAGAAAATATTGAAGGAACGGTTGAAGGAGCTGGTGGGGATGTATTAAATTGGAAACCTCCTAACTTTCCACAAGGTTTAACATCGGAAGAAGACATAACATCGGATAAAGACATTAAATGTAGAAATGTCTATGTCATGGAGGATGAAAAAAAAGTTAAATTCACTGCTCAAGATTTATATGATAAGAAAGCTGACAAAACAGAGCTTCAAACGTTAAAGACAGAAATACTTCAAACACTATATCCTATAGGTTCTATTTACACGTCAATGAACTCTACCAAACCAGAAGTAGTACTTGGTTTTGGAACTTGGACTCAAATAGTCGACAGGTTTTTGTATTGTGCAAACTCTTCAAAGGAAACAGGTGGAAGTAAAACGATTTCAGGTGCAAATTTACCTGCGCACAGTCACTACATAAATTTAAGTACATCTGAAGCAGGTTTGCATAGTCATAGATTTTGGGATTGGTCAGGAATGACAAAAGGTAAAGGATATGATGTTAAAGAGGACGTTAAGTTTGCTATAAATTGTTACTGGAGTAACACTGAGGTAGGAGGAAGCCATACACATCGCATTACAGGGTATACGCAAACAACAGGACAAAGTAAAGACTACATGCCACCTTACATGACAGTTTACGCATGGTATAGAATTGCTTAGTCGTCATTTTCAACTTCTTTAGCATATTCGTCAGGAGTTGTCTTATATTTGTTAGGAACTGTCTTTGAAAGTATACCACCTTGAACCTTAACAAGTTTGAAACGAGGTCTGACAATAGTAGTTTTATCTTCTGCTTGCAGTCTGTACATTTTGCCATGTTTGCCTAAAACTTCATAATATTCTCTTGTATACTCTTCTATTTTTACGAACACGAATGCGAGTACCTGTCGAGTTCCCATTGTTGTCATAGTCAATAGTATTTTCATATGGGTCGCGTTTAGGTATTTCTATTTTTACTTTGTCACCTTTCTTAAGTTTGAAGCCTGGCATTCTTTCTTGTTTGTCTCTTTTGACTAAACTATTAAATATATAGTCTTTCTCTAAGTCAGGGTTGTTTTTCATTTCTTCGGGGGAGTGGTTTCCCAAACCTTTTTGTTTACGGCTATTGTAAATATTTAAAACTTGTCTCATCTTTGCCATGGAGAAGTGTCTGTACTTGTCGTCATATGACATTTCATCTACCTCACCACCTTGTGGTTGGTTTAAGTCTCTTAAGATTTTTATACAACTGTCAATGACACCAAGAGCAGAATGGTTTTGGTCGACAATGAAATATTGGTTTACATTTTTTGAACGCAGATAGTTTTTAATATCGTCTGATTTGAAAGAACTTTCACAGTCAGATGTCAGTTTTGTTGGATGGTATTTGTCAACGAATATTGTCAAAGCTGCTAAGATATCTAAAATATTTTTGGACTGTAATGGTATGGCTTCACAGTATCTTGTGTTTTGACCGACAAATATTAACCAGTATGGTGGTCCATCTTCTCTATACCTCGGAATGTTTTCCAAGATATCCATAAACCAAGCATTTGGTGTTGAACTAAAGATTTTTATCATGAGTGCTTTCTTTGTCGCTTTAGAAACATAGGGGTCCTTGTTTGGATTCGTCATTTTTTACCCTATAAGAAATGGGTTTATTTGGCGCATTAGCAGGAGTTGCATCCAGATTTTTGCCCGCAGTGGGAACAATAGCCAGAGGTGCATTTGGAATTGGAAGGAAGATTTTGAGTACATTAGGTATACTGAAAGAGAAAGCACAACCTATTATACAAACTGTACAGAAAGGTTGGGAGGTAGCACGAGATGCAGCAAATCTTATTCCAAATCCTGAAACAAGAGGAAAAGTTCAAGGATGGATGGACAATGTAGGAAGACAAGCAGGAAACTACTATAACAAAGCAAATGACTACTATAACCAAGCAGGACACTATATGGACCAAGGTGAAAGATTCTTTAACAGAGGATATAACCATGCACAACAATGGGTAAACAATAACCAACCTCAACCGCCTCAAACGTGGGGAATGTAAATTTTTTTACTGAGATGAAATGAACAATACAGCATTGAGACAAATGGGTTCAAGATGGATTTGTCGACTTCCAACAGTTACACCACGTGTTTGTCAAGTTCTTCCTATACCTCAAGAAGTTTTAGACCGACTTAAAAAACAACAACAACCAGTTGAAAACAAACCAAACTAAAATTTTTTACTGAGATGAAATGACGGAAGAAGTTGAAACGGTAGATTTGACACCACAAACAAAAAGTTCAGAACCATTGTCAAAACCTGTCAAAGAACTTACAGATGAAGAGAAAAATTCAATAATAGAAAGTGCCAGGTCTGGAAATACAAACCCTAACTATAAAGTCACTTTTCATAGAAATGGAACGGCTAGTATCTCAAAAAAGAAACAGACTCTCACAAATAAAATATTGAAGTCTGAAGGAGCTTTCGAGACAACAGATGGAAAAGTTTACTTCACTGACCAACAGTTCATTATAGAACATCTCATTGACTTAGAGTCGAAATATTCTAAACTTTACAACAAACACAAAAAGTTGAAAGGAAAACAAAAACAAATGGCATATGATATTTACGAAGATGTTGACGACACAACCATACCTGCAAGTGAGGTAAAGTCAGAGGAACCGAAAAGTGACGAAAAACCGATAGAAGAAGAAAAACCAAAAACTGAAGATAAACCAAAACCAAAGTTTAGTTTCAATACTAAACCAAGTCAACCTTCATTAGCTGGTATGGGTTGGCGTCAAAGACTTATGGCAGCAGGCGGTTATGTTAAGTAAAGAAAAAAATATTTTTAAAACAGTATATTTTTTTATTTTTATTTGAACTGTACGCTGAGTTTGTTGGAAAAGACCGTTGGGAAACTTGTTTGTTAGACGATGAAATATGAAATGGCATACCATTTAAAACAACATATTTTAAAAAAAATATTTTTTTATTTTATTTGAAATGTACGCTGAGTTTGTTGGAACAGACCGTTGGGAAACTTGTTTGTTAGATGAGAAATATGAAATTCACTGTTGTGAGTCATTTGAAGTCAGAAACAAAAAGACAAAAAGAGTTTTAAGCGGATGGGAGGGAAATGACGGATATGCTCTTATGAAGATGAGTGGAAAAAACTATTTTAAACATGTTGTCATTGCAACTCATTTTATACCGAACCCTAACAATTTACCTTTTGTAGACCATATAAACCGTATAAGAAGCGACAATAGACTTGAAAACTTACGTTGGGTCACTTGTTCTGAAAACAATAAGAACAAAGGTAAATTTAGAGATATTGTATTCGAATTTGTCGACGAACTAGAAGATGAAACAATTGAAATTACAGACTATGGCGAGCATACGTTTGAGTTTTACTACTATAGCGAAGAACAAGACTCTTTCTACTTTTATACCGGCGTAAACTATAGGAAATTACAAGTATGTTTTACTAAGGCAGGCTATGCTTATGTAAACACTAGAGATACAGATGGAAAAAACGTTCAAATACTTCTTAACAAATTCAAGAAGCTATATGGCATACCATTTTAAAACAATATATTTTTACATATATTAAATGCTTCAGGTTGAAAAACAAAGAACAAAAGTAGCAGATACAAAACCGTTAGACTATATCTTTACAAATGCTGGTAGGACAATATCAGATGAAGAAATTTCATCCCGAATATACAGGTTTGACTATCCAATTCGTTGGCTTCAAAGTCCTTCAGATGCAAAGGCAATAGGATTTAGAAGAGTTTTGTTTTCAAATAGAACTAACGCTTTTATGTTTGCAGTATATTTTCATGGTCAGTATAGAGGTCCTAATGGTCTAATAGACAAATTTGATGAAATGAGAATCTTTACAATTCGTTCAGACGAAAGTCTTGAAAAAACTCTAAATGACTTTCAAACTCAAATAAACAAATACTACTGGGAATTTCAAGAAAAATACGATTCTTTACTAAATGGAACATACTATCTGAAACTAGAATATGACAAGATGAACTCCACCGTTTCATTTCAAAAGATTGAAATTAACCCTCCAAGAGATACAGAGTTTTTATTTTGGAAAGTAGACAAACGTTCTTGGGCACAATTTCTTCGGTTACTAAACCAGAACGAACCATTACCACCTGACGGTCCGTTTAAATTTATACGCCCACCAACAGATTTGACAGTTTATAGAAACGTGTTCGACCCTCAAAATGTCATGTGTCATGCAAGTTTCAGTTCAAGCAACAATAGTTTTCTATGTATTGGTAAGGACTTTTATGACTTTGCTTCTAAATTCTACGAACCATCTAGTAACAGTTTCTCTGACTTTCAAGTTTGGTTCACAACAAATGGTGTGCAGCATATTATACCATTGTACTATGACTTTTATCTCGAATTGTCTTTCATATACAACTACGGAAAAGTGCTGAAAAAGTATTGAAAAATAAAGTTTAGGGTAGAAGGTTAGATCTCACCTCTTTTCTAACCTCTTTTTTCACCCGTTGAATTTTCATGAATTTCCTTAAGATAGAAAAAAAGTGAGTTAAAATGAGATGTTTACTGAAGGGGTCACCATGTCACTCGGTCCCTCGGTCCCTCGGTCAACTAACATCTTTTTGAAAATGGTGACAACATGACATTTTGACAACAGTCGGGAAAATGTCAAGACTTCTTCATCGTAACGAGTGTAAATGAACCAAAAATATATTTTAGGGTAGCATGTTAGATCTAACACGTTTTCTAACATTTTTTCTAACATCGTAGAAAACTCATGAAATTTGGTCATTTTCAGCAAAAATATATTTTATGTTAGCATGTTAGATCTAACCTCATTTCTAACATTTTTTCTAACATCGTAGAAAACACACAAAACTCAAGAATTTTATACAGAATTCAATAAAAATAATGTTTATGTTAGAATGTTAGATCTAACACGTTTTCTAACACGTTTTCTAACATCGTAGAAAACTCTTGAATTTTCATGAATTTCCTTAAGATAGAAAAAGTATTGAAAAATAAAGTTTATGTTAGAATGTTAGATCTAACACGTTTTCTAACCACTTTTCTAACATCGTAGAAAACACACAAAACTCATCTAATGGCTCGATGTTGTCCATTGTTCTGTTTCAGAACTAGTCTTGTTCTGTTTCAGAACTAGTCTTGTACTGTTTCAGAACAATATTTGTACTGTTTCAGAACAAGTCTTGTACTTTTTCAGAACAAGTCTTGTACTTTTTCAGAACAAATTTCCCGTAAAAGCTCTCAATTTGTGAGAAAAATTTTCTGTTTCAGAACAATATTTGTTCTGTTTCAGAACAATATTTGTACTGTTTCAGAACAATATTTGTACTGTTTCAGAACAATATTTGTACTGTTTCAGAACAATATTTGTACTGTTTCAGAACAATATTTGTACTGTTTCAAGACAATATTTGTACTGTTTCAAGACAATATTTGTACTGTTTCAGAACAATATTTGTACTGTTTCAGAACAATATTTGTACTGTTTCAAGACAATGTCCGACGTACCACCAAAAAATATATTTTATGTTAGCATGTTAGATCTAACACGTTTTCTAACCTCTTTTCTCACCTCTTTTCTACCATCGTAGAAAACTCTCGAAATTCATGAGTTTTGACACTTTCACAAAAAACATAAAAAATAAAGTTAGTATTTTTAAAAAAATATTTTTTATTTTTATTGTAAGAACATGTTAGCAACAACTTCACCAAACTCTTTAGTCATGAATCCAACATCTATGTTAGTAGAAATGAAAAGCTTCATTCCTTCTTCATATACTTTTGAAACAGAAATCCAGAAGATAAAGCAGGAACTTCTCCAAGGAGATTTAGACTGCACTGCAAAAGATGAAACAAATGAACAGTATCTTTATGAAATGGAGGACATTATTGACCATTTACCCAAATTGCCTGAAATCCAACAACAAAAACTAACCATTCCCGAATTTGACGAAATAGAAGTCAAAGCAACTGACTCAGTAGAAATAAAGAAGTTCATACGAAAGGTAAATTATGAATTCCTTGGTTTTCATTGCAACCATAAGGTTATGGACAAAGATTGCGACATGGTATATAAGAACATCTCTGACCTTTACAAATCCGAAGAATTTAAGACCTACGACAACTTTGTTTCATTAGTTGCAAAATGTGTTTGGGAAATAAGAGATAAAGATAGTAGGGGTAAGGTATGGAACGAACAAATAAAACCCGCTATGTTCGAGATGAAGAGAGCAATTGACGCCTTGGTTGTTTTAGCAGGTAAGGTTTCAGAATATAACGCAAAAATGAATCCGCAATGTTCAAAATGTAAAGCAGCAATGAGGAAATATAACTACTCCGTCAAAGAGATAGAACGTATGCGAAACGACTATGCTGACTTAAAGAGGGAGGCAGAGAAACCAGCAGAAGATAAAATGGACATGTTAGAATTTCTGAACAAAAACTATCCAACTGCTGACGATTTCCTTCTATCTGACGTCAAGAAGAAATATAAAGAAACCTTCGGTATCGTTAAAACTTTTGACATACTAAAAGAAGAAATAGAAGCTACGAAATTGTTTAGAGTCATGAACCATCGCAACATATACCATGTAAAACGCTTGTAAATAGTTATGTTAGAAAAGAGGTTAGAAAACATGTTAGATCTAACATTCTAACATAAACATTATTTTTGTCTGATTTACGCTCATTACGATGAAGAAGTCTTGACAAAACATGTACGTTCATGTTTGACAAAACATTTACGATGAAATCATGACAAAACATTTACGAAGAAATCATGAAAATTCATGAGGTTAGAAAACATGTTAGAAAACATGTTAGATCTAACATTCTAACATAAAATATATTTTTGCTGAAAAATGACCAAATTTCATGAATTTCCTTAAGATAGAAAAAATAAAGTTAGTTTTATTTTTTTTATTTTTTTATTTTGTATGTAAGAACATATATGACAAGCACTGAGTTTGAAACAGTTAAAAAGATAGACAATGAGACCAAAATAGTTAGAATAGGTGATTTAAACGTAAGATACTCAAAGAAATACAACAAATATTCTTTGTCAGACATTATATCTCCATCTGGAAAGAAAACAAAGGACTGGGTTAGAATTGCTTCTACTCAGAAAATTTTGACAAGAAATCCTGAGCTTATGATATCGGTAAGATTCTATGGAACTACAGCATATCTTATAGACAAAAGTCTTATACCAGTAGTTTTGTTCTGGATTGACCCAGTTGTTGGATATAATTTCATAACATATGGTTCATTCGATACGGAACGTTGCAGTGAAGGCTTACTTTACATCGTTCAGAAACCGAAGGACTTCAATACAAAGAGATATAAGATAGGAAGAACATTTAATATAAGTAGTAGATATGACTCTACAGTCAATAGAGTTAAGGTTGTGTTTGTAAATGATATGAGAGCTGCTGAAACAGAACTGCTTGAAGTTTTTGAGAAAAGGTATGGTGCTCCCACGAAAGGTAAAGAAACGTTTGAAGTAGATGAGATAGATAGTGCTATAAAATTATTTGACGAAGTTGCTGAAAAATACATGTAAAGCGTTTATTTTTGGTCTTTTATACAAGATAGAAAATAACGCTAATTTTATTTTTTTTTATTTTTTTATTTTGTATGTAAGAACAGATATGTCAACAACAGAGAACACAACAACAGTTATAGTCCATGAAGCCATAGATGAAGAATACGAGTGGGTTCAGTATAACAAACAACTCCGTCTCATTCGTTCGGTCAAAGATGACATGTACCAAATGCAAAGTATTTTGAATACTCTTCGTTCTACAAAGCAAGCATATCATTGGTTTGAAAACCAACAGACAAAAGAACTTTTAGAAGAATTTCCTCATATGTTTGCGTCCCTCGGAAAACCGAGGAACGAGATTCCGTACGAAAATCGTAAAAATTTGCCAAATGGTTTGAAAGGATATTATGTACATAGACTTCTTGTAAATGCTGTTGCAATGTGGGCTTCACCTCGCTATGCTTGTTATATTTTCATGATGTTAGATGAAATTCATAGACAAGAACGTGAAGAGCTAGAGAACAAGCTTGAAGCAAAAGACAAAAGCATTCAGAAAAGAATACCACGTTCGGTACCAAAAGGAAAGGAAAAGAACTATAAGTATATGATTTATACTGAAGAGAATGGAAAATGAAGAAGACAGAGATATGGTTATGTTGCATTTAGTCAGAAGAAACAACAAAAGCTTTTACGACCTTGCTAAGATTTACAAATCTGACAGAAATTGGTTCTATCGCGAAAACTTACCGATTTCAATGACCGAATGAAGATGTGAAACAAATAGTTCAAGATACGTTACTCAAACACACTATGATATTAAAGGTTGTACAATACTACATTCAAAGAAGATTTGCCGCTACTGAAAGAAAAAATAACAGAGTATTTTGACAACTTTCAAACAAGTAGGGTAGATGAACCATTTATTTTTCAAGCTTGACTTTTTACAATTTGAACTTTGTTCGCGTAGATATGAATTCTGAAAGAAGTATGAGGGTCTTGTATGACTTTGTACTTCTCCCATAGTTCATGTCTGTCAAACTTACCTGCCATGGACTCTTTCATAAGTTCCATGAAATCGTCTTCGGACAATCCGGGGAAAAGTATGATATCAGTAAGTATTCTCTTTACATCCTTACTTAAACTCTTTGCTGTCTGTACACAAATGACAACAGAGATGTTTAAAGTGTCTGAGCTTCTTAAGAATTCGACACATGTTCTTGTTCTCTGTTCTTTAACAAAGGATGAGAAGCAAAGTCATCTAAGATAAGAAGACATCTATGAGGGTAAGTCTTCCAATCGTAAGATTGCAATTTTCTTCGAAATGTATTCTATCTCTTTCTGTTTGTTTCTGAAGTGTTTCTTCTCTAATATTCTCTGCATTTCCTCATTTGGTCTTTAAACTTAGAATTGACATACTCATTTATAGCATTATACTTCAAAACTCTTCTTTGGTACTTCTTTATCCAATCTAACAACTCAGTATCCTTTATACATACTAACTTAGACTTCTTTATAATATCTTTGAACGAATTGACGGTTTGGTCAAATTGACCAGAAGTACTACAAATGACAACTAACTCATAGAATGGGTTCTTCTCATCTAGTTCTTGTTGTTGTGCAGCCATTTTAAGATAAGTGAAAGTCTTGCCCGACCCAGGTGGTGCGATTAGACCTGTTATACCATTCTGAGCAAATAAGAACTTGTCATGTATAGGCTTTATCTGAGCATTTTCTAACTTCCTCTTGTTCTTGTTTAAAACATTCTCAAATTTCTTGTCAATGTCAGCAAACTTTTTTTCTAACATATTTTTAGAAAAATTAAAAATTTTATCTTTTAGGAAATGTCTAGCGATTTCGCTATCTATATTCGAGACAAGCTTTTCGACAGCAAAACATCTGTAGACCATAAAATCTTACATAGTGTAAACAAGAAAGGTGAATTTGTTCTAAAGTTCTGTTTCTGGGAATATGACAAGAACCATAAAACATTAAGCAGAGAAGTCTTTAAGTTTGTCAATGACAGACTTGTTGACAGAGATGACGCCGATTGGAAAGATGAAGTCCAACAAAAGTTCTTAGAATGCAAAGAAGACACATGCGCTGTTCTTGAAGATGAAATAGAAAACAGAATAGAAGAGCTATTAAAGGACAAAGACCTTTTACAAAAATATGGTTCTGAGAAGTTTGACATAACTCCACCAGAGAAGAAGAAGAAGAAAGAAAAGAAAGAGAAAAAAGTAGAAGAGAAGAAAGAAAAGAAAGTAGAAGAAAAGAAGAAAGAACCTGAACCAGTTCCAGAGAAGGGGAGATATGACATGTAAAAATAAAATTTTATTTTTAGAACATTTCTGGGTCAATGTCAATGTTCTCTTCCTCTTTAGGAGCAAACACTGGCTTAGACTCTAAAATCTTTTTACCCAATTTACCTTGAACTTCAACTATCCTAGACTCATAATATTCATAGTCGTCTGTCTTCTTTGGTTCATAAGGTATAACAAGTTTGTATGCTTTGCCTTCTTCGAGTTTTGAGAACTTTCTGTCAAAATTTTCTTTGACTGTTAACAAACCTTCTATGTCTAAGTCTTCAAATTTCGCACCATTTTTAGTCACAATAGCAAACTTAACTGGTTCGATGTTCCAAACTTTGTCAAATGTAGACTTTTCAAAATTGTAGAAGTAAACATTCAAATATGCGAATGGAGCTAACTTATCTTTGACTTCTGTCATGTACTTGTTTACTGAGATGAATTTTGCCATCTTTTCTATCGGATAAAAAAAATATTTTTTTTAAAATTTACTCAGAAAAATTTTTCTTTGTATATACACCATTCTGAACATCTAAAAGATTTTTGACATTTGCCAAGAATGTTCGTTTAGACGCTGTCATATAACCATACTCTTGACAATATTGTTTATATTCATCGTACAATGACCTTTCATCTAAACACTCAAAGTTAGTCTCATCTATAAACAGTTCATATACACTCTTGTTTGCTTCTAACAATGTTTGTCTCTCTTCGGTATGTGGAATTTGTCTTGGATTGAACTTAGAAATATCTAATGTCATAAAATATGAGAACAAGTGGTTGTAAAAGTCAGATGTCAAAGTTTCTGCTAAGTCGTCAAAATATTCTGTATCTTGCATATGAGAATCTGACGTTCTGACAACTACATATCTTCTGTCAGAACTTTCTAATTTCATCGGAACAGCATTGTTTGAAACCATAATGAAGTTTGCAACATTTTCACAAACTCTTTGGTCTTTATATTTTCTTTCAACAACTCCAACTTTGTCTGTTATAAGACTCTTTAAAGCATCTGAGTTCAAAACTTTTGTTGTATCTATACTTTGAAGTTCGTTACATACTATAAGTTTCATATTCTCTATTGAGGAGTTAAATTTACCGCAGATGTTTTCTATGTTTGTCATATTAGGGTTCGAATAGCCCTCTAACAGTTTGCATAAGATATCTGTAAAGAATGTGTTCTTACCTGTTCCTTGTTTTCCAATTATAATGAGAGCAGTTTCATTTTTAGCACTTGGATGTTGTAAGATGTTTGCAAACCAACATAAGATATACTCATAGACTCTTTCGTTTCCATTGCATATAATTTCTTTGACATGGTCTAACCAAGCTTCTATAATATTTTCTTTCCATTCTACTTGTTCGTATTTATATCCAGTGAAGATAGAATAGAAGTTTGGAGAAGGTGTATAGAACTTTATACCTCGAACTGAAAAATCTTCTAACTTTGACAATAAGATATCCCAAGCATCTAACATCTTCATGCCAACTTGTACGACTTTTATTTTCTTAAGTTTCTGTTTACATTCTTGTTCTGAAACTATGGTTGCTCTTGGTTTGTTAAAGACAACATCCCATTCTTTCATAACATAACATTCTGGGGCAGAGTCAACATAAATGACTAAACGTTTCAAATTCTCGACTGCTTTGTTATAGTCTCTAAATGGACACATATTTCTGAACGCTTGGAAGTCATAAAAATCTGAAACGTCTATTTCTGTACATTTTTATAAAAATAAAAAAATATTTTTTTTAT